TTACAGAGTATTATTTTTTCCTTTTAGATAATTAATTTATGTTATATTTGGTATATAATGAAAGAATGCCAAAGTTTTAAAAAACATTCATGACTATTAATTTCCAGTAATGGTATATGACTTTTGTTGTATCATATTTGTGTAGTTTTATAACCTAATTAATATGGTTTGAATCACAACTCTAATGGTCAACTATGAACTATATTAGAATTAATATTCAACTTAGAACAAAGAAGAAGAACATTAAATGTTTGTATTCTGTTCAATAATTTAACGATATTCTTTTTATATGTTCTAGTGAATTTCATAAAGATGATATTATACGATAGTATATTGTCATTTTGCAATTTTTTTTACTAAATTTCTTTCACCATTTGAGTGTTTTTGAATTTAAATACAAAAATGTCAACCTCTTGGAGTATTTAGTATGCATTTTCTAGTATTTTTATCGAAATTTCACGTCAATTGGCTCGCGTGATGATATCTACTAATTACAAAATTTGTTCAAATGTTTGGGCATGTGTTTAGCATTGTACCGAACCGTTTTGTACCGTTCTGAAACGACATGGTACCGAATGGTTCTATCCTTAGAACCGGACCGTACCGAACCGTTAGAAACCTCACGGATACATTACGGGTTTTGCTAATTTACCGGACCGTTCCGGACCGCGCCCACCCCTAACAAATTGAAAAGAGAAAGTAGTAGAGTTGGTTGCTCATCCGTGTTGCTTCATTCCATGTCTTGGGTTCGAATCCCCTGGACGATCCTATTCTTTTTCCATGTTTCTTTTTCATCCAAAAAAAAAAAAAAAATAATCATTCATACAACGGTTGCATGTGAAGCCTACATAAAACGAAAGGGTGCGGCTCTTTCCCAAAGTACATGTATATTAAATAAAAGAATTTAATATGTCATTCTTTTATAAAAGAACTTCTTGTATGTAAAATATATACATACCAGCATAGTCGCATACAGTGGCGGAGCCAGGATCTAGAGTCAGTGGTGTAATAATCCCAACTATTTGCGGTCTGCTTATAATAGTCCCAACTATCGATTATTTCAGAATAATCCCAACTTTAGAGTCCTTCCGCCAATAACAGTCCATGTAAATAAATTCATGGACTTTCTAAAGTAGATAAGAAGAGATATAGCAAGTAATCTCTATAAATAATCCCAACTTTTAATTTTTACGTTTAATTTCTATTTAAAAATCACTTTTATAGAAGGTAATATTTGGTCATGGACCATTATTGGCGGATGGTCCATATAGTTGGGATTATACAAAAATAATCAATAGTTGGGATTATTGTTAGCGGACTGGCAATAGTTGGGATTATTGTTTTCAATTTTTCCTAAGTAAAAATGTACACTTTTCAATTATTTTTAAGTTAGTGTTCCAACTTTTAAAATATATACAGTGACCTCTGATCCATTTTTTAAATGGTTGTGTCAATTTTTAATTTTTGGAAGATTATACATTTATACTCCGTATATAGTTTTTTAGAAAATTCTCTAAATAGGACTAAAACATAGATAAAATTTATAAATAGGAATATCAATTCAATGTTTTATTCCCAAAATAGGACTCATTCGCTCCTATTTTGGAAGTTTTAATCATGTTATTATTTTGAAAGAACTAAATAAGCCCTATTTGGAGAATAAGACACAAGATTTCCTATTTGTTTTACTTTGTGTCTTATATTAAACAATTTCTATTTTTTTAGCGGTGTCAATTTTAATTTTTTGAAAAATTATATATACTTATATATGAAGAAGAAAAAGTTGAGTGGTGTCAATTGACACCACAACTCATAGTGTGGCTTAGGGGTGCAAACGAGCCGAGCCGAGCCCGATTTTCTACAGGCTCGAGCTCGAGCTCGAAATATATAGCATCGGCTCGAGCTCGGGCTCGGCTCGAACGAGCCTACAAAATCGCGGCTCGAACTCGACTCGCAGAAGGCTCGGTTCGACTCGGCTCGGCTCGAGGCTCGATAACCATTATGATGCTCCATAATGAGTCCGTAGTAAAAATTCACTGTCATCGGCCCATTCTAAGTTTTTCTACTGAGTAGTAACAACCTAAGCCTAAAATATTATAAAATTTTACTAATCAGCATATATTATATACTCCCTCCGTCCCCTTTTAAATGTCCCGTTTTACCATATTGGGATGTCCCTATTTAATTGTCTCATACCTTATTTGGTAAAGTTTGTGTGGTTCAAAATTATTTTTAATTTATTCTTACTTTATCAATTAATATCAATCACACAAACCCACTTTTCTTAAAACTCGTGTCATACTCTTCCGAGACATTTAAAAGGGGACAGAGGAAGTATATCATATATATTACTCCGTACATTATAACAGTATACATTATATACGTAGTATTAATTTATATTGCATAGTAATATATTATATATGATTATATAATATATATATATATATATATTATAAATATTCACATATAAAATTAGGCTCGCGAGCCGGCTCGCGAGCCAGCGAGCCTGAAATTAGAAGGCTCGAGCTCGGGCTCGACTGCTTAACGAGCCGGCTCGAGCTCGGCTCGAGCTCGAATTTGACCGATCCCGATTCGAGCTTTGACCGAGCGGCTCGCGAGCGGCTCACGAGCGGCTCGGCTCATTTGCACCCCTAGTGTGGCTCCACCACTGGTCACGTCGCATATGCATGCAATGTGCATCTTTAAAAAATTAAACTTTACATACTAGTATTACGTAAATTTTGAAGATAGCACATTAGCACTTGCTTAATAAAATAATAATAATAATATTATTATGAGTCAACATTTACACGTGTACAAATGTTGTGCTCATAATAACAATAACTATTGCAATTAAAAGTTCTTTTAACAACATTTTGATAATACAAAACGTTATATATAAAATGTTTAAGGATCATGTAAAATAATATTTGAGCTGTATTTCTCAATAAATATCCAACATAGGGTGGATAGCAGTTTGTGAAATGCATTTGAGAGATTATAGTGCGGGTAGCTTGGACCCTCGAGGGTTTGTTTGGGAGTTCGGAGGGAAGGGGAAAAAGAAAGGTTTTGAAGTATTAGAAATGCTCTCCTCCGAACTACCGGAGGGAAAGGTTGTTCGAACATTTTATAAACGCATTTGTGGCGTTAGATTTAAATGATAGGCACGGCCAAGATCAAATGCTGGAGATAGTTTTACTGTTTTAGTACTATTCAATGATTCAATGATGATTTCCTGGCCTCCACTAAATCTTTTTTTTTTCCACTAAATCTTTATTGTTTTTGTACTTTTAGTTATAAAAAACGGCTAAGGTTTGCAAAGAAAAACGGCTAAGGTGTTTGATTTACTAAATAGGAGTACATATTTTAATTTGGTCAAGTATTACTACAAAAGTATTAATAATAAATGAAAAATGTAAAAGTGATTTTAAATTGATCTAACATTATCAATTCTAAAATACATAATACTTCCTCCCTCCCATTTTTATTTCGAGCCCGTTTAGTAACACTCAAATTGGATGAATCGACTAATTCTGCTGAATTTTACGGAGTATGAAGTTTTGGCTGAAGTGAATGAATTGGCTGATTATGCCGATTTATGAAATAATTATATTTAAAATACAATTTATTAATAAAGTAAAGAAAAAATTATATGAAAATAGCTAAAATGATCCTATACAGTAACCTCAACCAATACAACAGGAAAAGTAATTTCAGCCAATATAGTCAAAAAAATGACTTCAGTCTTACTTTTTCTTATTATTACACATTTCAGCGCGCGAAATCAAAAGTAACGTGTTTGGTGAAAATGTTGACTGATAAGTCGAAAGGCAGAGTCACCAAACGGGTTCTTAGTCAAATACTTCGTACTAATTTTCAAGTCAAGGGTGCCAAGTTTTAACCGGTTATATATTTATACACGGCAATATTAATAAAATGAAAATAATATGAAAGTGTTCTTTTTTGAAAATAATATTATAAAGTATGAATTTATTAAGTTTCACATAAATATACCTGGTTAAAATAATGGATAAGAGTTTATCATCTTTGATTCGAAAAGTAAAAAATGGCTAAATAAAAAGGGACAAATGTAGTACTATTTATCTACATAATATTAATACAGAAATAGTTAATTAACATATGTTGCATTTTTGTAAATACTATTTGATGGAGTATAAATCCAACTGTAAGAGCTAATCAACAATGGATTGGGAAGGCAGCCAAATAATTTTATAAGATAACTGCGTTACACTGCCAAAATATTTACTTTCGCGCACCAAATCCATCGTTGATTAGCTATTGCAGTTGGAATTATACTTCATCAAATAGTATTTACAAAAATGGAAGATATGTTAATTAACAATTTCTGTATTAATATTATGTAGGTAAATATTGCTACCTCCATCCCTTTTTGTTAAGCCATTTAATACTTTTCGAATCAAAGATGATAATCTTTGACCCATTATTTTAACTAGTATATTTATGTGAAACTTAATAAATTTATACTTTTGTAATATTATTTTCAACAAAGAACACTTTCATATTATTTTCATATTATTAATATTACCGTGTATAAATATATAACCGGTCAAAATTTGACACCATTAACTTGAAAAATTAAATAAGTGTTTGACTAAATAAAAAGAGACAAAGGGAGTACTATATATTTTCAACTATTTTTGAATTCGTGCTAGATCAATTTAAAACCACTTTTACATTTTTCATTTATTATGAATACTTTTTAGTAATACTTTACTAAATTAAAATATGTATTTACTAAATCAAAGATCTTAGCCGTTTTTTAACTAAAAGTTAAAAACAATAAAGCTTGAGTGGAAGCAGTAAACCATCATTGAATAGTATCCACGGTTTTGAATACGGATGAGTAAGAATCTCCACTATGGGAGATATTTGATCTTGGCCGTTCATATCACCTAAATCTAACGCCACAATTGGCTTTACAAAAAGTTCGGACAATTTTCCGTCCGGTAGTTCGGAGGAGAGCAGCTCTCTTTGAAGTATAATCATGAGAAGGGGAGAGGAGGGAAAGGGGAGGAAACACTCCTTGTCTGGGAGTACGTTACATATTTGAAAAGATAGTAATCGATCTCTTGGGATGCTTCGTTTTCTCTCTCTAGGGTTGCCGCAAGGCAAGCCGCTAGTTTCGATCGTCCGCTATCGGCTTACGCCGAAGAGCGGGGCTGATTTCCAGCCATCTGTTTTTAATTTCGGCATAGGGGATTCAGAAGGGGAGGCGACAAAGGAGGTAGGTGAAGTTTCTGGTTCGGACCGTCAGTTTCGTGGTGTTTTGACGGAAGAACCGAGGAGACGTAGTAGTGCACAGAGCGACAAAGGTCTGATCAAGGGAGAATACAGATTGGCGGTTCGTCCCCCTCCTGAACCGCTGCCTTGGATTGATCGAGAAGTCGGGGTTTGGAAGATGATTTTTCAAGAGAAGGATCTATTGAAAAGTAGTTATGGTCACAAAGTAGTTTGAAATATTTGTTAGTTATTCTATTTTTTATGGTCTTATTTTCCTGTTATGTTTGTTTACGACGTTTCATTTTTTGTTGAAGACTTTAGTTTTAGGTTTACAATAATGATCGTCAATTTTGGTAGATATTATGTCATTAGAAGGATCTATATGTCTAGTGATTGTTGTGTCACACCCGCTTGGTGGTTACTGGTTAGCGATTCATATTGCTCTTTCAGGGGTGACCGTCTCAAAGTCTAGCCGTAGGGTTGATTATGATCGTTGGTTAGGGATTGTTTTTGTCAGGATTGGTCTTTTTGAGTTTGTTGTAACGATCCTTTCCCTAATGATTTTAATATAAGAGTTGGATTTGATGATAAAAAAAATTAAATTCACATCACATATTTGAATTTATATTCATTAAAGATTGAGCTAAAGTTATCATTTAATAAGTTACTTTTTAAAATTTCATCAATTTGAGAGAACTTGTAAATTGAGCATTTGGAGGATTTTGGAGAGTTACAAAAGTCCTTCATATTTTTTAAGCTCCCTAACATGAAAAGGAAGACCATAAGCCCTTGTCAATCTTTCCCTTCCCTCCAAAACCCAACCCCCAAACTGGCCAAACATACCCTAAAGAAATTTCTTGGACAAGTCATTGTTTTTTAGTGCAATAATATCGATCAGATCACCCTTGTCAACCCTCCCCCCCAATGCCCAACCCCCAACCCCCAAACATACCCCTAAAGAAAATTCTTGGATAAGTCCTTGTTTTTTGTTCAATAGTATAAGGAAAATTCTTAGTGTACACAAATTGTACACAAAACCCCTTAGTTGCCTGTCTATACAGGCAATTCGTTTAAAAAGAGAAAAAACTTGATGTCAAATTGCCCGTTTACACAAGTAATGTACACATTTTGTGTATACCAAGAATGGTCCATAATATAATGTCAATCAAATCACTAGCTAGCTAATTCATGGTGCGTGAACGTGAATCGCAGTTTAAAGTATTTTGTAATTATTTAATCAGCCCAATCGATCTCGTAGTTCATATATATATTTGTAATCAGAATGAAGGATTGAAGGACAATTAGTCTCTTACAACATAACATGTGTAGTTCGTGTAATATACGTACGTTGTATAGTATCTAAAATTTGTGGAAATCCATGAACCCCAGAGCAAAGCACATATATAGAGATGCATGGTAAATGAAAACGATGCGGGCTGAGGCGGTAATCATACGGTCAGTCATATCGAAGGCTAGACAAAACCGGCACCGGCATGTTTAGTCATGTCGTCTACCATATGAGGCGACCTGACTGTCAAACTCGCTGCTTTGGCATAAAAGCTTGGGGAAAGGGATCCCGTTGCCGTAAAAATGGCACCACCCAACATTTCGTCTCCCACACTTAACACATTCCCACTCCGGTCCCCCTCTTCATTCACATGTACTACCTGTTAAAGTTCAACCGTTATAGCAAAACATCGTCAAAATACGTGCAAGTGTAAGATATTTTTTATTTACTTATTAAGACAACCAAAGTAAACTATTTTGAAATATTTATAAACTCATGTTCAATTTTTAAACTTAAATTATTATAACATTATTAATCATTATTTTAGTAACATTTTTGGGAAAAAATCAACTATTTTTCGTATAAATGTCAGCTTAATAATCTCTTTCTATTTTATACATATTTTTCCTATAAATGTCAGCTTAGAGTATTTTTAATTGGAATGTGAGTTGCACTCCATAAAAATGGACACGTCATGATTGTGCATAGCCTATGAAGCTCGCATGGACACACATGCAATTAAAATAAAATTTTATCTACAACATCAACCATGATATGGAGAGCAACCGTGGAGAGCTTTTGTTAGGCTTATAAATTACTACGTACTAGGACTCAAGGAGTATGACTTGCGGCAATTTGTCAATTAGACTTTTGTTGATCTATCAATTAGAAAGAGGAATAAACATTGTACGCTCTTTTCCATTCCTGGCCCACTTAGAGCGACAAGCTGTATGCATATTTTCATTGGAGACAATTTTTTAGCCTAATGTGACGAGACATTGCATTTTGACAAATTCATAGCAACTAAAAAAGCTCTTAGTGGCTCTTAATTTGAGTTAATACATAAGTGGATTGCACCTCATAAAATATGGACACATCATCAATGTGCACCGTCAATGAAGCTCACGTGGACACACATCAAATCAAAATAAAAATTTATCTCCAACAACAACTAACCGTTGATTCATGTGCGATAACGGCAACCGGCCAATTAAGGCTTTTGCTGGTATACTTGATTTGCAATTACAGCAAAATATTCTAGGTGAGAACTCCGGTACCCATTTAAAAAATGGGGTACCGTACCTATCATTCACTTGATTGGTCCACATAGGTATATCAATTTTAATTTAGACTTAAATAATTCAACTGCAACATTCTGATTGGTCCATGTGGACAAAGGTACGGTACCTTTTGGGTACCATAGAATCTACCAATATTCTATGAGATAAATATTGTTTTGCTGAGTCAGCTTGTGGGAGATGCCTTATGAAAGTAGGAGTGATCTATGTTGCACGGATACGGATACGCCGATACGCGGATACGGGTACGGCGATACGGCAATTTCAAAAATTATAGGATACGGCCATACGGGTACGGTGGTATATTTATAAATAATAAAAATATAGGATATAATTTGCAAATATATATAATTCAGGGGTTCATAAATAAAATAATAATAGTACAAAAAATTAACTATTATAATAAAATTTCAAATATTAGTCTAAAAAAACTAAAAAACAAAAGTACTAATATTTTGATTTAAATTCAAATAACATTTTTTTGTTCTCTATTTGCATTTACATCTATGTCTTGTTTCAATTAAAGCTCATCAAGCAATGAAATGACAAATTATAGTATTCCATTATTTTCCATACTCCCGAAATCATATTTATCAATGTTCTACATGTTGTGGTCACTTGGGCGGCTACTAAATTTTCGTCATGTCGTGTATCAAATGAGGGGTTATAGGGTCAGATACGCGTATCGGTTCACGGATACGGGTATCGGAAGTATCGGTATTTTTAAAATTAAGCCCGATACTTTTATTAAATTATGGATACGGACCCAATACGTACAGGACGCGTATCGGTGAGTATCGGATACGGATACGTATCGGATACGCGGATACGGCATCAAGGTGAAGTATCGGTGCAACATAGGGAGTGATAGACACTGTCGATTTCTTTTAATTCCAAGTCAGGACCACAACTACAATTCATATTTTCATTTATTGGAGACATTATCTTTTCCTCAATATGATGTGGCAATACATTGTAAGCAATTCTTGTTCCTATTCATACTATATATTCATATATTCTAATATTGGTCATCTAATTGGTGTTATATATTACTAATAAGGTTCATATAGTCCTAGACTTTTAATTGGTCTAATAATAAGTCGAACCTGTGTTTGAGTTCCCCAACTCTCTCATCTGCATCTATATGGGTATATTCTTATTTCTTATGAAATAACAACACAATATAATTGAAAGATATATTCCAGTTTATTCATCTATTATGGATTCAGAAATTCTTAAATCTTAATTTATCATATATGATTGTGTAATTAGATGATGGTGATCTTGGAGTTTGCTGAGTCATATTTAAAAATGGAAGTAGTACATGTGTGTTTACCTCTTTCACGCCATACGTTGCAGCATTGAATACATTTCCTTGGGATAAGATGGTTGGGTTAGCACTATGACCAATTGCATACATTTCCCAGCCTTCGTAGTAGTTGTTCACCACGTGGAATGTACCCAACCTGCATCTACACATGTAGAAGAGACGCAAATCACTCAATCAACCACCGAGCGCACGAGTCCAAAAAGATTTGTGATATTGTTTTTTCGGTCATATAACCATTTTTGAACAATAATTTTGATTATTATATATTTTTATAATTTATAAATTTTATATTCTTATGACTCTTCAAAAAAAACAAAATCTTATGAAATTATTTTGAAGATATATTTTTCATATTCAAATAATTTCGTATTAAAATGTCATTGATAAGAAGATGTGGGGGTATTCAGGGGCGTAGCCAGGACACTGGGCTAGACTGGGCCGGTACAAAGAATATTATTGGAAAAAAAATTACACGAAATTTTTTACACTAAAAATATTGACATTTTTCAAATTTGGGGTGGGCCAGGGCCTAGCCTGGGCACCCCCTAGCTCCGCCCCTGGGGTATTTGTTTATCAATACTCCGTATAATATTGTATACAACCACATCAATAATACTGGGTAATTCATATGGGAAATGACAAAAGCTCTATGTAATGAGTTACGGAGCATTTAAAAACCAACCTGCAAATGTTACGTCATATATTGAATGTCACTTCTTTAATTTTTTGTTTGTATTACGGAGTATCAGTAATATTAATAAAAAGCTGATTCACTCCTGTTCTAGAAAGAGGAGAATGTTCTAGAAAGACAATTGCTTTTTTTGGAAATGTAAGCGATTAAGCGAATGATTGACATATATGCATCATTTGGTATTATTTGGCATAAATACGGCAATATTATGCAAATATGACACTAATCACCGTTCTATCCTGTTATATAGGAACGTATTATTAGAGTATCTTCAATGATACAATGTGTACGGTGCACACGTGGCATGAGAGATGACCACATAAATATTAGTAAATAAATTATTTCCCTCCTTATTTGAATGATTTTATACAGTTTTGGTAAGTTTTCTCCACAATGTCAAGGAGACCGTCTAATGTTGACATTGTTGTTGACATTCCAGGGAAAAACTTACCAAAATTGTATAAAATCATTCAAATAAGGAGAAAAATAAATTATTTGCTAATAATTATGTAGTTATCACTCATGCCACATGTGCACCGTGGACATTTTAGCATTGGAGATGCTCTTATACTTCATCTGTTCCTTTTTTATTGTAACAGTCAACATTTCACGTTTATCAACGCACAAGTTTGACCATTAATATCTTTCATTCCTTATTAGTAAAAAAATTCAAAAAATTCATATTTTGAAAAATTAGAATGAGAAGAATTTAACAATATTTTTTTAAAAATTTGATTTATAATACATTAATAAATAAAATATAGTCAAAGTAGAATATGTGAATAGTACAAAAAGTCTAATGTTACAATTAAAAGAGAACGGAGATAGTACTACGTACTATTTATGAACTGTATAATAAGAAGTATTAAAAAATATTACTATTGATTTTTCAATTCCAAATATACGACTCACTATTTTCCAAAAATAAGTGATGACCTCTCTC